TCGAAACCAAGTTTCTCTTCGTATCTACAGTCATAAATTGGAATCAACGAAATCGAATCGGCCTCATAGCCTGTATGATGGAGTCCCGAAAATTATTTGATATTCCAAACACACAAATGAGTCAGACTTAATTAGTTGCTCGCCACCATAATGACCAGGAAATGGTAGGAACTGACCAAAAGAGATGAGCATCTATTGCCAAGTGCACTTTTGTTGTATGAGTAAACGGATGCATTTCGGTATCCGGGCTGGCCTGCGCCTTGAAATTCGGGCCATGAACAGACAAAAATGAGACAGTCTGGAAGGCGGCCTTGAAATGAGCCATCTGATATTCATCTTCCGAGGTCTTCAAGAAAAGGGCCCATTTTATGACGGCGGAAACACACATAAAAAGGCTTATTCAACAGGCCAAACTATCCTATCCATGAATAGACACTTCGGCCGGCCAAAGTTGGTGAGTTGGGGTAAGAAAACTCAGGCTCTCAGACATTCGCCTGGTAGCACCTGCACATCTCAACCTAGTCGCATCAGAGGCTAGCAACACGGCACCAGGCAGCACAACACTTCCAGACACGTGCTGTCGGTGCAGCCGAGCAAGGCCTGAGAGGTACCGGACCGTCCCCCGAAATGGGTCCCAGAGACGGCCACCCGCACCCCATGCTCATCCGGTGCCGCAAGTCAGCGTCATGATGACGGCCGAGTTGAATCGTGGAAGATGATCATAAACAGCCGAAGGTCGCTGACCTGCCACGAGGTTCGTTACAATCGTCGTCGGGCTGGGGGATGTGTGGATTGTGCTGACCATCAGCCCTGGCAAGATGCCAATAGCATGAATAAACTTGGATACCCCTTCGAGACAGACTACACTGTCAGGACAGTTATCCGAGACTCCCACGAAGAAAATGTGGGTTTCAAAGAGTCTCGTGATTTACAATTGTTGTTGAGGCAACAGACCAGCTGTTAAGCTCTATTGCTCTTGAAGTTATAAAGACCAAGATGTTATGGCCTCTGGTATGGTCGCAGTCTCCTTTCGATTTATAGAAATGGGTTGACCTCGTTGTCGCAACTTGGTCTTATTGTCAGGGAGACTTAGTAGAACGCACCAAATCCGAAGTCGTCTGCCATAGTAGTTGTCATCATTCTCAGCATCAGACAGTGGACTTGGTACATTCTCAAACATTTCGCCAGCATCGTAGTCAGCATCATCAGTGAGTTTTGCCACG